AAAAAAACGCTGAATTCCTTGTTGGATAAGTAAGTAATATAGTTGTTCTTGGACAAGAGACTCATGCATTGTGAATATTTAGATTCTACTCAACTTAATCTACAAGTGAAAATGCAAACAAAATTTTCAAGTAAATATTTTAACCTCTTTATTATGAAATATACCACATATTCAGAAAAGTATATATAACATAAATGAATTATCATAATGAATTATCACAAAGCAATTCCCTGGGAAACTACTACAATGCCAATACCCACAGAAGCCTATCAGAAACTCCTCCAATCCCTGTAAAAGTAACCACTATTCCTGGCACTATTAATCTGCTTTCTGTGTCTATGAATTTACCTATTTTGGACATTTTAAGTAAATGGAATCATGCAATATATGGCCTTTTGTCCCTAGCTTATTTCAGTTAGCATAATTTTTTAAGGTTCATGCAAGCTGTAGCAGGTATCAGCATTTCATTCTTGATTATGGTTAAGTAATGTTCCATTGTATTGTATTGATATACCATATTTTATTTATCCATTTATGATATTTGGGACTTTCATTTTCAAGTATTTAAAAAATTGATGTTTGCAGTTCTCTTGGGTATAAATCTAGGAGTGTAATTGCTGAATCATATGGTAATTGTATGTTTAATTCCATTTATGATATTTGGGACTTTCATTTTCAAGTATTAAAAAAATTGATGTTTGCAGTTCTCTTGGGTATAAATCTAGGAGTGTAATTGCTGAATCATATGGTAATTGTATGTTTAATTTTTGAAGAACCACAAAACTGTTTTACATGACAGTTGAAACATTTTACATTTCTTCTTTTGTTATCCTAATGATTTTTGTTATAAAGTCTGCTTTGAATATTATTAAAGCTATACTAGTTATCTTTTAAAGAAGCTCTTTCATCATTTTATTTTCAAATTATTTGTGTCAATGAACCTAAAGTGAGTCTCTTGTAGGTATCAGACAGTTAGATTATGTTTTTGGAATCATTCTACTAATGCCTACTTTTAATTCGAGTTTAATCCATTTATATTTAATGTAATTACCTGTAAGTTTTTCTGTCATTCATTATATTTTTCCATTCATTTATTCTGCCATTTGTGTTGAATAGATATTTTTGAGTGTGCCACTTAATTCTATTGTCTTTTAAGACTCCATGTAGTTGGGTTGTTATATTAGTGGTTGGAAATTACAATAAACATCCAATTCATAACAATACAATTTAGATTAATACCAACTTAATTTCAATATAATACAAATATTTTGTACCTATATAGCTAACTTCTCTGCCTTTTATGCTATTATCACAAATTACATCTTTATACATTGTGTGTCCATCATGATAGATTTATAACTATTGCTTTACACAGATGCCTTTTAAATGAAAAAATATAAGAGCTATAAACAAAAATATATTAATACTGCATTTTACATTTATCTATGTTTTTACTTGTCTGGTATCCTTTATTTCTTCATTTGGATTTGAGTTACTGTCAAGTGTCCTTTCATTTCAGACTGAAGAATTCTCGTCAGAATATCTTGTAGGGCATGACTGCTAGCAACAGTCTATTAGTTTTTTTTTTTAATTTGGAAATGTATAATTACTCCTTCTTTTCTTTTAATGTAAAAAGAACATTAAACATAAGATTTACATTCTTAATACATTTTTAAGCGTAAAATATATGATTGTTAACTGTAAGTACAATCTTTTACTACAAATCTCTAAGGCTTATTTATCTTGTTTGAGTGAAACTTTATGCTCACCGATTAGTAACTTTCCATTATCCTATTCTCTAAGCCCCTAGCAGCCACCATTCAACTATTTGATTTTATACATTTGACTATTTTAGATATATCATGTAAGTGGAATCATGAAATATTTGACTTTCTGTGATTGCTTTATTTTACTTAGCATAATGTCCTCAAGATTCATCCATATTGTAGCAAATGTCAGAGTCATCTTATTTTTTTTTTGTTGTTTTTTTTTTTGAGTGGAGTCTCATTCTGTCACCCATGTTGGAATGCAAGGGCGCGATCTCGGCTCACGGCAACTTCCACCTCCTGGGTTCAAGCGATTCTCCTGCCTCAGTTTCCCAAGTAGTTGGAACTACAGGCATGTGCCACCACACCCAGCTAATTTTTGTATTTTTTAGTAGAGACAGGGTTTCACTAGATGTTGGCCAGGCTGGTCTCAAACTCCTGACCTCAGGTGATCCACCCACCTTGGCCTTCCAAAATGCTGGGATTATAGGCATGAGCCACTGTGCCCAGCCAGAATCATCTTATTTTTTAAGTCTGAATAATATTCCATTGTATGTATATACCACATTTTCTTTATCCATTCATCTGCTGATGAATGTTTAGGCTTTTTTTTTTTTTTTTTTTTTTTTTCACATTTTAGCTATTATGAATAGTGTTCAGTGAATTAGGAGTGATGGTAGGTCTCTGAGATCCTGATTTGAACTCTTTTTGATAAATAATCGGAAATAGGATTGTCTGATAATACGGTAGTTCTATTTTTAATATTCTGAGGAACCACCACATTGTTTTTCATAGCAGGGGCACCATTTTGCATTCCTACCAACAGTTGGCAAGAGTTCCAATTTGTACAAACTTTACCAATACTAGTTATCTTTTTATAAAATCTTTTTTTTTAAAAAAGTCATCGTAATAGGTGTGAGGTGATTATCTCATGGTTTTGACTTGCATTTCCCTGATGACTAGGAAAATTGAGCAAATGTTCATATACCTGTTGAACATTTATATCTTCTCCTGAGAAAAATCTATTCAATTCCTTTGCCCATTTTTAAATTAGGTTATTTTTTGCTATTGAGTTGTAAGAGTTCCTTATATATTTTGGATATTAACCCCTTTTAAGAGGTATGATTTATAAATATTTCCTCCCATTCTGTAGATTTTTCTCTTGACTCTACTGATTGTTTCCTTTACTATGCAGAAGCTTTTTAGTTTGATGTAATCCCAATTTTCTATTTTTGCTTTTATTGTCCGTGCTTTTGGGGTCATAAAAAAGAATGTTTCCCCTATGTTTTCTTCTAGTAGCTTTATAGCTTCAGGACTTACATTTAAGTCTTCATTATATTTTAAGTTGATATCTGTATGTGGTGTGAAATAAGGGTCTAAATGGATTCTTTTGCATGTGGATATCCAGATTTCCCAACACAATGTATTGAAGAGACTGTTCTTTCCCCAATGTGTGTTCTTGTCACCTTTGTAAAAAATTAACTGATGGTAAATGCATGAGTTTATTTCTGTACTCTATTTTTTTCCATTAGTCTACATTTCTATTTTTATGCAAAGAAGGTACTTTTTAAACTAAGAATATGGTAAAGTTTCTACCACCAGACTTTTGCAATGTGTTTTCCAAGATAATAAGCAAAGATGGTTTATTGACAAGAGCTAGATTTCATAACCATTAGAATAGTAATTTTCCAAGAGGTACAAAAGGAAAACAAACCCTCAAGGAACTTCATTTCACACTCACCATTACTAAGCAGCAGGAGGCAAAGAAGATGATGAAATCACACAATAGGGCAGAAAGCCAGTACACAATGACAGAGACACCACTCACAAACTGGATGTGCTTCGCCTTAGTGGTTCTCTCAGTCACCGTCAGGAGACAAAAACCATTGATCAAAAGAGCCATGCCAAATTGTAAATTTATGGCCAATTTTTGTCCACTTTGAAGCCTACAAAAGAAGACATATCAGAAAATCAACACAGCAGAAAATACAGATTTCAATCAATAGCTATTTTTATCATATAAATGTAATCAGATAAAGTGGAAATAATGTATTTAAAGAGTAAAATTGAATTCAAATGAAAAGAATAACATACTCTTCATTTTCTTCAATATCAAGGAGTGGCTGAGGTTTGTTGGAGACTGTTAAGGAAGCATTGGCACCAGAAAGTGACTTGAAAAGAATGTTGTCTAACACTGCCAGGGCCACAGATGGTGAATGATATGCTTCATTGTTGAACAGAGCAGTAAGCATTACCATATTTGCCTCCGACTCAATAGAAAGTGCAATGATACATAAACGAATACAATCTTTTGTTTCCCTCAAGTACTTCAGTAGGTCACCTAGGATGAGAAAACAATATTGGTCAGTGTGTCCACAATACAGATAACCTATAATATAGGCCAGAGAAGAGGAACAGATAATTTTACTTCTCGTCACCTTCAATTTTCCCATAATGACTACTTCAAACATTTGCGGTTCCCCTCCAGCACTTTACTTCATCATTACATTCCAAGCTCTCTCACTTTATAGCCTATATCCTAAACTACTACTTCACTGAGAAAACATACTCTCTCAACTTACTTATCTATCTTATACTGATTTATAAGTGTTTTTATTTATAGCTTTGCTAATCTTACAGCAGACAAAACCTTCCTCTGGAAAGCATAGAAGCTAACTAAAAACATTTAAAAATATCACCTCATTAAGGATATTAGACATCTAGGAAAACCATCAACATTTGGGAAGAATGGAAATGCACTGAGATGAGTCCAACATTCTACATTCTTTTTTTCTTTGAGACCTTTATAGATTTGTAAATGGTAGAGGTACCTTAGTAAATCCTCAGGCTCTCTGTGGGGCTCAAGAAGGGTAATACCTTCACAGAAATAGTGAGTAAGAAATAAACCCATTCTTTCTTTAAGAGATCGGGTCTCACTGGGTTTCCCAAGCTGGAGTGCAGTGGGAAATATTCACAGGCATGATAATAGTGCACTACAGCCTCAAATTCCTAGGCTCGTGTGACCCTCCCATGTAAGTCTCCCAAGCAGTGGGGACTACAGACCCTTGCCACCATGCCCAGCTTAATAGACACATTCTTATAAAAATTTAAACCCAGCCTCAAATTACTTCAATCCATGATTGGATTTAGATCTTTCCTTAATCTTACTGCCTGCCAGAAGTAAAACTGAATCTCCTCTGGAGAAGATAATCTCATGCAGAATCTTCATAATTTTCATACACAGTATCTGGCATTGAATTAAGAAATTATCAATTCCACTAAGAAAGAGAACCAAGAGAAAGCACAGACAATAGAAACAGATTCATTGATGACCCAGGTAGCAAAGATAGAGAATTTACCAGAGAACTGGAGTCTATAGAAATAATCAAATGTTTATGTCAGAATTAAAAAACACATTAATTACAATTAAGAAGTTAATATATAACTATAGTGGGTTGAGCACAAATAAAGTGTAGGTCAGGGCACTGGAAGACAAGTGATTAGAATACTCAGACAAAAGCACAGTGGATGGAAAACAAGAGAGAAGACACACATCACCGATGTCAGGAATGAAACAGAGAAAATCACTACCCATCATGCAGACATAAAAAGGATGATAAAGGAATTCTATGGTTAACTCTACACAAATGTCACGGCTAATTTTATGTATCAACTTGACTGGGTTGAGAGATACCCAAGTAGCTGGTAAGGCATTATTTCTGGGCATGTCTGTGAGGGTGTTTCCAGACAAGATTAGCATTTGAATCAGTAGACTGACTAAAGCGCCTCACCAATGTGAGTGGCCATCATCCAATCCATTGAGGGACCAAATAGAACAAAAGGGTGAAAAAAGGGCAACTTTTTTCTCTTCATGAAGGAAAATGCACCATCTATTTTCTCCTGCCCTTACACATTAGCACTCCTGATTCTCAGACTTTTGGACTCTGGGACTTACACCAGTAGCCACCTTGGTTCCCAGGCCTTTGGCCTCAGACTGAATTACTGGCTTCCTGGGTATACAGCTTGCATACAGCATATTATGGGACTTCTTGGCCTCTATAATCACATGAGCCAATTCCTCTAATAAATATTTTCTTTATACATTTATCTCTCTGTCTCTGTCTCTGTCTCTCTCTCTCTCTATACACACACACACACACACACACACACACACACACACATATATGTATCCTGCAACTTTGATGAACTCATTTATTAGTTCTAGAAATTTTTCTTGTTTGTTCTTTGGGATTCTCTATGTAGACAATCACATCATCTGCAAATAAGAGCAATTTTCTTTCTTTGTGATCTGTATGCCTTTTGTTTCCCATATATATATATCCTGTTGGTTCTGCTTTTCTAAAGAACTCTAATACAACACATAGATTTGATGACTTAGATGAAAGGGACCACTTCTTCAAAACATACAGCTACGACAACTCAATATGAAGTAGATCATTGAATAGCAATAATTATTAAGAAAATGTAATTCTCAACTAAAAATTCCATAAAAAAGAAGTCTCCAGGCCCCAATATTTTCACTGAAGAATCGTATCAAATGCTTAAAGAAGAATAAGCACTAATTAGACACAACATATTTTAGGAAACAGAATCAGGAACATTTCTCAATTTAGTTTATAATGAAACCACACCAAGACAGTACAACAAAAGTAAACTACAGATAAATATCCTTTATGAATATAGATGCAAAACTCCTTAATAAAATATTAGCCAACAGAATTCAACAATATATACAAAGAATTATGCACCATGACCAACTGGAATCTATTCCAGGGATACAAGGCTGGTTCAATATTTGAATATCAATTAATGTCACCCTCCATATTAATAGACTAACAAGGAAAACTTACATAATTATACAAATCTGTGCAGAAAAAACTTTTGAGAAAACTCAATAAGCACTCATGATTAAAAAAAAAAACTGAGCAAAATAGGAGTAGAGCAGAACTTATTTAACTTTATATAAAGCATCTAAAAAATTCCTTACCGCTAACATTATACTTAGTGGAGAAAGACTGTATACCTTTTTTCCTAACATTGGAACAAAGAAAAACAATCAGTCTCACTACTCTGATTCAATATAGTGATGGAAGTTCTATCCAGTGTAATAAAGTATAAATGGGAACCAAAAGGCATACAGATCACAAAGAAAGAAAATTGCTCTTATTTGCAGATGATATGATTGTCTACATAGAGAATCCCAAGGAACCAACAAGAAAAATTTCTAGAACTAATAAATGAGTTCATCAAAGTTGCGGGATACATGATAACCATATAAGAATAAAAAATAATTATATGCTAGAATAAACATCTGGATACCAAAATTAAAAGGGTAATACCATTTACATTAACTGAAAAATGAAATATTTAGGCATAAATTAACAACCTATGTGCAGGACTTGTATGCTGAAAACTACAAGCGCTGACGAAAGAAATAAAAGTTCTAAATCAATAAAGGGACATCCTACATTCATGGATTCAAAGACTATACTCAGTAAAGATGTCAATTTTCTTCAATTTACTATACAGATTTAATCCAATTTCTGGCAAATTTCCAAGTTTTTATGCAGGTATAGACAAACTTATTTCAAAATGTATATGGAGGAGCAAAGGAACTAAAATAGCCAAAACAACTTTTAAAAACAAGAATAAAGTGGGAGGAACCAGTCTACCAGATTTCAAGTGTGCCATTGGTTGAAGGAATAGATACATAGATTATTGGAATAGAATAGAAAACCCCAAAATAGACCCAAACATGCCCAACTCTTTTTTGATAAAGGTACAAAATAATTAAATGAATATCACCATTCAGTAATGGAGCAATTGCTGCCGGAGCAATTGGAGGTGCACAGGCACAAAAATTAACCTTGACTCAGATATCACACCTTATGCTAAAATTAAGTCAAAGTAGATAATAAATATAAAATGTAAAGCTATAAAACTTTTAGAAAACTGTAAATCTTTTTAGGAGAAAATCTTCAAGATTTAGGGCTAGGTGGAGAGTTCTTAGACCTAACATCAAAAGCATGATCAATAAAAGAAAAAAATACATTAAACTTTATAAAAATTAAGAAATTTTGCCCTGAAAAAAAATTGTTAGGGTGATGATAATCTACAGCATGAGAGAAAACAATTTTAAAAACTGTTTAAAACTCTATAGTAAAAAACATCAAAAATTAAACTAAAAAATAGGGAAAATTGATAAACACACATTTCACCGGAGATGATGTTCAAATGGAAAATAAGCACATGAAAAGATGTAGAAATGCAAGTCAGGGAAAGGTAAGTTGAAACTACAGTGATATACCACTACTCACTTATCACAACGGCCAAAACAAAAATAGTGACAACACCAAATGCTGGTGAATATGCAGAGAAACTGGATCACTCATACATTGCTGAGGGAAATGTAAAATGACACAGTCACTCTGGAAAGCAACTAGGTAGTTTTTTAGAAAACTAAACATGCAACAGCCCTGTTGCTAGAAAAAATTTAAAAAGAAGCTATGCCCAGTGTTCCCCTTACTTGTTGCAAGTAATAAAAGTCCCCATGTTGAGTTTCCTAGACAGCAAAAGACAACTGTCTGTAAACAGACAATCCACAGAACAGGAGAAAATTTTTGCAAACTATGCATCCAACAAAGATCTAATATCCAGCACCTACAAAGAATTTAAATAAATTTACAAGAAAAAAACAAACTCATAAAAAAGAGGGCCAACGACATGAACAGAGACTTTGCAAAAGACAACATACACATGGCCAATGTTCATATAAAGAAAAGATCAACATCACTGATCATTAGAGAAATGCAAATCAAAACCACAATGAGCTACCATCTCACACCAGTCAGAAGAGCTATTATTATTATAATTAGCTTTTTATTTTATTTATTCATTTGTTTATTTTTATTTTTTAAGTTTGGGGGTACCTGTGCAGGATGTGCAGGTTTGTTAAATAGGTAAATGTGTGCCATGGTGGTTTGCTGCACCTATCAACCCATCACCTAGGTATTAAGCTCCGCATGCATTAGCTGTTTTTCCTAATGCTCTTTCCCCGCATCCTCCAACAGGCCCCAGTGCGTGTTTTTCCCCCTCCCTGTGTCCATGTATTGTTCAGCTCCCACTTACAAGTGAGAACATGAGGTGTTTTCTGTTCCTGTACTAGTTTGCTGAGGATAATGGCTTCCAGCTTCATCCATCTCCTTGCAAAGGACATTTCTTTTTATAGCTACATAGTATTCCATGGTATATATGTACCACATTTTCCTTATCCAATCTATCATTGATGGGCATTTGGGTAGATTCCACGTCTACACGTACATGTGCAAGTATCTTTACAACAGAATGATTTATATTCCTTTGGATATATACCCAGTAATGGAATTGTAGGGTCCAATGGTATTTCCAATTCTAAATCTTTGAGGAATCACCACACTGTCTTCCACAATGGTTGAACGAATTTACATTCCCACCAACAGTGTAAAAGTGTTCCTATTTCTCTACAACCTCACCAGCATCTGTTGTTTCTTGACTTTTAAGAATAGCTATCATTTAAAAAGTAAAAAAAAAACCAAACAAAAAACAAAAAACAAAACACACATATGCTGGTGAGGTTGCAGAGAAAAAGGAATGCTTATACACTGTTGGTGGGAGTGTAAATTAGTTCAGTTACTGTGGAAGACAGTGTGGTGATTCCTCAGACTTAAAGACAGAAATACAGTTAGACCCAGCAATCCCATTACTGTGTGTATACCCAAAGGAATATACATAATTCTATTATAAAGACACATGCATGTGTATGTTCATTGCAATACTATTCACAATAGCAATGACATGGAGTCAACCCAAATGCCATCAATAATAGACTCGATAAAGAAAATGTGGTACATGTACACCGTGCAATACTATGCAGCCATAAAAAAGAATGAGGTCAGGCCCTTTGCAGGGACATGCATGGAGCTGGAGGTCATCATTCTTAGCAAACTAACACGGGAACAGAAAACCAAATACCACATGTTCTCACTTATAAGTTGGAGCTAAATGAGGAGAACACATGGACACATAGAGGGGAACAACATATACTGGGGCCTACAGGAGGGTGGAAGGTTGGAGGAGGGAGAGAATCAGGAAAAATAACTAATGGATACTAGGCTTAATATCTGGGTGATAAAGTAACCTGTACAACCCCCATGATACAGGTAAACTTGTATCTTTACTTGTTGTCTCTTTACATAAGATTTACTGACCTCTGCTGTAATATGTTAAATAAAACATTTACAGTTTGGCTTTAGATAAAATAAAACACACAAAAATCTTACTTCATGTACCCATGAACTTAAAACAAAATAAATAAATTTAAAAATCTGAAACAATGAGGGCATTCTTTGACTTGAATATAACTGTCTCTAAGACATTTGTGACTAACAGGGGAAGGATAGAGTGGGTAGCCCAACACTATAGTTAAGACCTTCTTTGGAAGTAACACAAGAAGATCATCTCTGAGAGCAGTTCTTTTTTTTTTCCTCAGTGAGCTTTACCTTGTACTTCCTGAGGTCTTTGGTTGTCAGACTCGAGCATACTCTTAAGGCGTTCTGAGAGATCTGCAGTCAAATTAGAAGCCCCAGAAATAGAAAAGGGCACAATGGTTTGACCATATTGACTCAACTCCATTTGCCTAATCATTTCATGCTGTGAAGAATTTTTACTAGAACTTAAGAGAAAGGCAAGGGAGCCTATGAGTCCCAGTATCTGTAACAAAAGCAGTTTCCAGTTGCGCCAGTTGAACATCACCCTCTTTACGAACATGGCACAGAACTGCTGGCTGTAGAGAGAACACTAAGGAAAAATGAGAAAAAGATAACATTACAATAGGTATAGACTTAAACATGCCATTCATGTTGAACTCCATTAAGACGAATGCTTTGAAATTCTGTGGTATGAACATATACAAGTTTTATATTACAAACACATAAAGTTTATAGAAGTAAGTACTTGGAATAGAACCTAAGCGTAGTATGACAGGACACAATTGTATGATTAATCTTTTCTTTGTATGAGGCAGGGGTCAACAAACTATGGCCCTATGGCCTGTTTTTATAAACAAAGTTTTATTGCAACACAGCGATGCCCATTTATTTCTGCATTTTCATGGTTGTTTTTGTGCTATAATGACAGACTTGAGTAATTGTGAAAGACACCAGATGGCCTACTAAGCCTTCAATATTTGTTGTCTCTTTACGTAAGGTTTACTGACCTCTGCTGTAATATATTAAATAAAATGTTTACAGTTTGGCTTTAGATATAACACACAAAAATCTTAGAAGGATGATTTTCCTCAGACTCCTGATAGCCAAGAAAACTAGGGTGCTTTATAGAAGGAGTAGATGATTATAAGAAGAATGAAGAAAATATTTGGCAACTCAGAATTCCACTGTGAAGAATCATACTAATTAGGGAACCATCCCTTACACAGTAACAATTCCCAATAGGAAAACTTAGAATACTTAAAATATTGTGCATATTGAATTATTAAAAATTAGGCTCACTAGTACCCTTAACTTAGCCTCAATAAACCAACACATTTTGTGGTTACTGATTTGAAAAGAAATGAATTCTAAAACAGAAAAAAAGGATGGAGGAATAACAATGGTGAAAGCAAACCATTGCTATCTTATCTAAAACCCATCATTTCTGCATTAGAAAACTGATTAGGAAGTAGCACAGACTGCTTGCCATCTGATCGACCAAGTGTACCTCTTGCACTCCAACCATATCTACACCAGGTTTCTTGGTAAAGGTGCTTACCCCAGTATTAAAGTTAATAGTAGGGCTTTCATTCAGGGTGGGAGGATCTGCTCCCTCAACATTTCTTGACATGTTCTTATTCTGGTTCCTGTTGGAGGCTTGGCCCATTTGGGAGGAAGACTTCATAGCTTCGATATCTGTTTGTGACTCTTCCGTGTAACCGACCCTACATAAAAAAGCACAAAGTATTTCATTTCAATCTTATTCCAAAGTATCCTGTTTGAAGAATGTGAGTTGCAGCCCCCAACTCAGAAGGCTCCTTGGTGTGCTCATTGCCTGGCAGAAATCATTACTTGGAAGCAACATGGTACTTGTGGTAGAGCAATGGTTCCCAAACATGCCCCGTTGCCCTTAAATTTCTGTTGGATGAAACCTGAAAGTCTGGAGAACTTACAAAGGGAACTAAGACATGTTCTTTTCCCTCCAGAGATTTTCTTTTCCCTATACATTGTCACTCACTTGAGGAAGACTTCTTCCATGGTAGTGACAGAGGCACCAACGCTAGAAATGCCCAGGTTTTCTTGTTCTTGTTCCAGAGCAGTAAACAGAGCTTCAAAACTAGGAGTAGAAGAGGAACAGAAAAAGCTAGCACCAAACCAGATGATTTTCATATTTATGTCTTTTTCTTCTAAGATAATTTCCTCTCAGCAGTAGGGAAAATGTAGATCATTTTACATTTCAATGCTTATTATAAGTTTATGCCTCTGGTAAATCAGAAAGGTGGGACAAATGGAGAGAAAGAGACTAGCAAATTGCTACAGCAATTTGTTCTCTGAATTTTGTACAGTGCACACATATCAATTTCATACTTAAAGTAAAAGAGAAAAAGGAAATATGGTGAATCCACTCTACTTAGTTCTTGAATACCCATGTTGTTGGTCTTCTAAGACAAGGATCAGGAGACTGTATATATGTTAATATCTCTAGTCATGAGTTAACTTATCATGAACATGAGCTAACTTATCACGTACATATATGCTATGGTTCCTATTACTCAGTAAATATTAAAAAAAGAAAGAAAATCATCCACAATTTAAAAAATACTAAAAAATAGAAAATGGAGTAAGTGCAGTAAAACTTAAAGACTTAGAGGGAATTATGTGATTAAATGTCCAGAAAAGTCTATGGAAGTTGAGCCAGATACAATGTGGAGACATCAAGTCTTTTAAAGAATGGTCTTCCTGGGAAGACATTACAGAATGTTGTGTTCAAATGATTATCTTTTTCAGAAACCTCCAGTTCTCAAATCTATCTCGAACCTTCAGTTCTCAAATCTATCTCTATCCATTTTCAGTGAAGGTCAGTTGAACCCGTCTTTGCACACACTCAGTGTTAGGGGAATTAAAAATTTCCTTTTAGAAAATCTATCAAACTTGCCTCCATATTCAAGCTTACATTCTATCTAGTTTTGCACATTAGTTCCAATCTTACACCTTGAGGTTATTTAGAATAGATACAATCCATCTGTGTGACAGCCAGTCTTTGACATATTTTAAGTCCATTTTCTCCTACATTTCTTCATTTCCAATATATGACTTCTCTACTGGGATTCACTCATATTTTCTTCTTTTTCATTTTTAAATTTGGGCTGAGTATGGTGGCTCATGCCTGTAATACTAGCACTTTGGGAGGCCAAAGTGGAAGGATTGCTTGAAGCCAGGAGGTTGAGACCAGCCTACGCAAAATAGTGAGACCCCATCTCTTAAAAAAAAGTCAGCTGGACATGGTGGTACATGCCTGTGGTTCCAGCTACTCACGAAGCCAAGGTAGGAGGATCACTTGAGCCTGGGAAGTAAAGGCTGCAGTGAGCTGTGATTGTACCACTGCACTTCAGCCTGGGTGACAGAGCAAGAATTTGTCTCAAAAAAAAAAAAAAAAAAAAAAAAGATTAACGTGTGTGCATTGTACAAAATTCAGAAAATAAGTATATAAAGAAAATAAAAATTATCATAACACCATCCATAAAAGATAACCACTGTTAATACACTATTATTTTGGCAAAATTATTTTTGGTTCTTTTGGCTTTATGCAATATACGACGAAGTTAGAATTAAATTGTGTACTGCTTTAAATGTATTAATATAGCACAAAGTCTTGATAACCTAAATATTCATCACCAGCTTAATGAACAAATAAATTACAGTATGAATATATGACAGAATAAGATATAATTAAAATGTAGATTTCTCCACAGTCATTTCATAAATGAAGAAAGCCTACAATTCCTAACAGAAAGTTGGCTGAGAAATCCTGGTGAGTAAACAAGGCAAGATTCTGAACATTAGTATGGTAGAATCCCATTTCTAAGAAAACTATTATTATGAGCCAGGCACGGTGGCTCATGCCTGTAATCCCAGCACTTTGGGAGGCCAAGGCAGGTGGATCACCTGAGGTCAGGAGTTTGAGACTAGCCTGGCCAACATGGCGAAGCCCCGTCTCTACTAAAAATACAAAATTAGCTGGGTGTGGTGGCGTGCACCTGTAATCCCAGCTACTCAGGAAGTTGAGGCAGGAGAATCGCTTGAACCTGGGAGGCAGAGGTTGCAGTGAACCGAGATCGCACCACTGCACTCCAGCCTGAGCAACAGAGTAAGACTTCATCTCAAGAAAAAAAATAATAATAAAAAATAAAAAACTATTACAATGATTGTATACACGTCAATATATATACACAGTGTTCTTGAAAAATATGCATCAAAATAAAAACAACACAAAACAAAATAAACACACAAAAATAAAAATACACATCAAACTCTTCTCAGGGATTACTTCTATGGACAGTAATTATGAGAGACTTTCACTCTCTAATTCATATACTCCAGAAATAAATAAGTTCTTTAATTTTTATCATCATGCAACCATAAGTAGATTAGTTAACTCTAGGTTCCTCAGTAATAAAGCAAACAGTAAGCAAAACAGAATAAAGAAATAAATAACAAAACAAATTTCATGAGTCAGTTGTATTATAAAGTCCTATTATGAATCTGACCTGTTTTTCTAATTATATAAGTTTATAAACCTTTTTTCTAATTATATGTCTTATATGCTATATATACAGATATTTAATACATATGGATATTATACAGATAATATATATTATCTTTTGGGGGTAATAGAGAAAAATATAAAAATGAAAAGAATCTGACTATCTCAAGTATATCCCTGTTAAATATTTGATATACTTCTTTCCATCACTACATATATTTTTAAATTTAGATTTTTTTTTCTTCTTTTCTGTGGTGCAACATACGTAAAATGCACTACGTGGCAAATGAATTTTTCCATATGAGTATACCTGGATAACATCCAGATAAGACAGAGAACAGTTCCAGCGTCTCAGAAGGGTATTCCAGGATGCCCCTTTCTGGTCGACAACCCCTTTATCTGCACACACAGACACACAGACAAATGTGCATATACACACAACATATGGTAACAATTGTATTAGAATCCTAGAACCAAAGATTCGTTTTGCTTTTTCTTTAGTTTTATATAAACGCCATCTTACAGTATGTGCTTTTTGGCCCACCGTAATGTCTGTGAGATTTCCTCATGTTGTTGCATGTACCACTAGTTCTTTTTTTTTTTTGAGACAGAATCTCGCTCTGTTGCCCAGTTGTAGTGCAGTGGTGTTATCTTGGTTCACTGCACCCTCCCCCTGTCGGGTTCAAGCGATTCTCCTGCCTCAGCCTCCCGAGTAGGTGGGACTACAGGCACAGGCTACCACGCCCAGCTAAGTTTTGTATTTCCAGTAGAGACGGGGTTTCACCACGATGGCCCAGGATGGTCTCTATCTCTTGACCTCGTGATCTCCCTGCCTCGGCCTCCCCAAGTGCTGAGATTACAGGCGTGAGCCACCGCGCCCGGCCGTAGTTCATTCTTTTTTATTGCTGAGTGGTATTTATCCATTTCCTGCTAAAGGAGGCTCTGGTTGTTTTTGGTTTGGGGCTAGTATGAATAAAGTGACTGTGAATATAAACATTATTTTACATGTATTTTAATGGACTTGTCTCTCCTAGGTATATACTAGGCGTGTGATTACTAGGTCATAGGGTAAGCACATACTGAGCTTACCAGAAATGACCAAATATTTTACAAAGCAGTTTTACCGTTTTACACTTCTACCAGCGATGAGAGCCAGTTGCCATGTTCACGTTATAGTTCATCTTCTTAGCTTTAGCCATTCTAGGGGGTGTGTAGTGGTAATGTAATGCTTGCTTATTCTTCGTTAATTTTGTATAGTTCTGGGAAGAATTTTTGACATAGTCTTCTCTTTCATCAGTTCTGCTATTTTCTGCCATAATTATTTGGTCAGTTTTTTTTATTACCCAATCAAGAATTTATCTCACTTTTCCTCTTCAAAACTGCTGGGTCTAGATTCATAGCGTCTTCTTTAATTTGATCAAGGCTACAAAGCAGAGAGTTTCAGAAGTTTTCTATTTTTGCAGTACAATAATGTTCAGAATTGGCATTTTTAAATTTAGTATCTTGTCCACAATTCCTTCTTTTCCCCCATCTTTATAAAAGGAGGTTGATATTTCTCCAGGACTGACATACAATTATATACAATTTCAGGAGGAAACTATGTCTAAGACTTAGGTGTGATTCTACTTGATAAAGTGATTTTTCTTCTAAATTCTCATTCTAGGTATTGTTTTTTTCTTTTCTTCTTTTTTTGCTCAAAATCAACTTTGGTATCATTGGTGGTATCAATTTGTGAAGCTTAAAATTAGGATGAGATTGGCATGTCTCCAGTTTTCTAACATCATGGTATAGATGGAAAAGCAAAAAGTTTTGGAGCTAAATGGGCCGGTGTTCAATTTCAGCCTGTGTTCAATTTCAGCCTGTATCAGTAATAACTATTTGATTTAATCTTTCCATTTGATCTACTATTGTGATTTGATTGAATCTTTCTGACCTTAAGAGTCGTCATATCATTTGTAAAAAGGTAAAAATAAATATGCTTTATATTCTCTTCATTTGTCACAATGTTACTTCACTTTAGCATTTATTCCTTTATAATCCCTTCATGGCGATCTGAGTGGCTCGTGTGTACATCTTCATTTGGAGACTATAATTTATTTGCAGCTGTGAGGAACACTCTGAATATCTCGTCTTCCTTTTTGCTGTGCATCCCTTTTTAATGAAAAGATCATTCTCTTTGATCAACAATATTGAATTTAAAGAGGAGTTGAGAAATTTTGCTTCCTTGATGACAGCACTGAAGCTTCTTTTCCTTGACATTCTTGGGAAAGATCTAGCTTCCGATTTTTCTTTTTCTTACTGCCAGATCCCAACCTCAAAATCCCATTTTAAAAATACAAATGGAGGCAAAATTAGAAGAAATCAAGGCGCATAAAAAGAGGCATTGCCAAAGGAGAACTCATGCCATAAAATTTCATCTGGATCTATCATGTACACGTTTAATTTCCGGTCTATTTTTTCCTGATTAACCTGCTGGTCCTTATCTCAAATACTGGCTTTGTTTCTGTTCCACAACATAGATGTTTGTAACCCTCACATATCTTTCCAACTGTGCTGCTTAGGAGCCAACCTTTGCTCAAGATACCCCAAACTCTTAAAAAAGAGTATAATGATACTAACTACTTTCAAAACTTTCCTTGAATAACACGTTGAGGGGGTTAGACTTCCTAGTAATATTCTGTATCAGCCTGTCTTATTTGTTCTTGTTTACTACACTTTGGGTATTGCTCCATTTTCTTTAGATTTGGGATTTGGTGGTCAGAATTTCATATTGAAGTTTCCAAACATTCTTGAGGAACATTTCTTTTCAAAAGATCATGCTATGGAATCTTGCTTTTCTGTATACCTTCCAATTTTGTATGTGCCTGAATCGATCAAGTTCTTTTCCTCCTTTTCTGCCACGAAGTCTACCATGGTGTAAGGGAAACTCCCGAAGTTGTCTGACATTTTTTTTTTTTTTTTAATCTTCAACCAACATTTTCTTGATGATCAGAATTAGGCTTACAGTAGCAGTTTCTTTCTCATTTCCTCCATCTTTCTAGGAAGTTTAATCATTGGCAAGAAAAGTCAGGAATGTGTCAGGAGACCTGTAGCAACACATGTCTATATATATATATATATACACACACCGTAATCATGTCTGTATTACAAGTCTACACTTGAATTATTCCCTTCACTATGAATCTTAAACAAACCTGTATCCAAAATATATTATGCATTTCCTCCTTCTAGCTTGCAGGAGTTTCACAAAATTATATGTAACTTGTTTCTTTCTCCTCCTGTGGTCACCCACTGTTTTTATTTTCTGTACATTTCTACCTTCTAGATCTAGAATTTTAAGCATATAAATATTCCCTGATATGCAGCACTATTCTGATGTGTCTCATATCTATCATTCCGCTATTACATTCTAAGCTTAGGTTTCATTCTACCAAGTCTCAGCATTGTTCTACAAGTTACGACCTTGTTTTAAAATTTCTTCTTCTGGCCGGGCGCGTTGGCTCACACCTATAATCTCAGCACTTTGGGAGGCTGAGGTGGGTGGATCATGAGGTCAGGAGTTCGAGACCAGCCTGGCCAACATGGTGAAACCCCATCTCTACTACTACTACTACTACTACAACAAAAAAAAAAAAAAAAAAAAAGCCAGGTGTGGTGGCATGCACCTGTAATTCCGGCTACTTGGGAGGCTGAGGTAGGAGAATTGCTTGAAACTGGAAGGTGGAGGTTGCAGTGAGCCAGGATTGTGCCACTACACTCCAGCCTGGGCAACAAGAGCAAAACTCCATCTCAAAATATATACATATATGTAATTTTTTCTTTTTTTGTTTTTTTGAGACAGTGTCTCACTCTGTCACCCAGGCTGGAGTGCAGTGGCGTGATCTAAGCTCACTGCAGCCTCAATTTCCTGGGCTCAAGTGATCTGCCCGCTTTGGCCTCCCAAAGTGCTAAGATTACAGGTGTGAGCCACCAGGCCCAGTTTGTTTTAAAATTTCAAGATGACTTTCCTTGTGAGATATATTCAATGAATTGAAATACAGGTATATATGATGAAAAATTACTACTTTTCTGTTCCATAGTATTTATTCAGGCAAATAAATACATATTAGAACAATGTCTGATAGAAACTAAGTGCTCAATTGCTGTTAGGTATCAAAATTTTAGTTGGGGTAGAAATCACTGAGTATTTAACCATCATTTCATTCTTTTCATATTATGCCCTGAAATAACTAGATTTATAGGTATTTCTTTTTCTTATATTTTCTTCATCCCAATTCTTTTAGCTTAAAACTCTCCCCATAGGGGAATCTCACACCGGGGCCTGTGGGGCTGTGGGGGGCTAAGGGAGGGATAACATTAGGAGAAATACCTAATGTAGGTGATGGGTTGATGGGTGAAGCAAAACCACAATGGCACATGTATACCTATGTGATAAACCTGCACGTTCTGCATATGCACCCCAGAACTTAAAGTGTAATAATAATAATAATAATAAATTCTCCCTGTTAGAACCACATGTTCTCACTCATAAGTGGGAGTTGAACAATGAGAACACTTGGACACAGGGAGGGGAACATCACACACCGGGGCCTGCTAGGGGGTGGGGGGCTGGGGGAGGGATAGCGTTAGGAGAAATACCTAATGTAGATGACGGGTTGATGGGTGCAGCAAACCAACATGGCACATGTATACATATGTAACAAACCTGCACGTTCTGCGTATATATCCCAGAACTTAAAGTATATATATAAAAAACAACTCTCCCTGTTAGAGAAAACGTCATCCTGAGCAAATATATACATCCCTAAATTCATGATTTTCATTTTATTTTGTACTGTGTGTGTCATTCTATATCTACAGCCCAGAAATCTACAATCAGTTCTTCACCTTCTAGAGTATCTTCCTATTTCTTTCTTCTGAGTGCAAACGATTAGTAAGATGATGTGGTCTCACCATATCATCTGCTTCCACGTTCTCACATTTCCTGTCTTAGAATCTCAACATGGTGTTCCTGTTCTTGTCTGAGAATGCCGTTTGTGGCCATACAAATCAGGATAGGCAGATAGTGTGGCAAGCTCAAGCAAGCTCAAGCAAGCTCTTTATCTGTGTCTCTCCTTCAGATGGATTCTGTAGCTCCTGGTGGATCATGACTACAACCCTGGGCTAAGGCACCAACATAAAACCTGCTTCCCACCTGGGCTGAATGACTCAACTGCCTTGTATCACTAAGGAGACATATCTAGAATATTATTTCCAGTTTTTCACTGTATTTAATTCTTCTACTCCAACTTATGACTAGGGTCTTGGTTCCACTCCACTGCCTGATTAGCTGCCCCAAGCTGCTGGTTCAAGAACTTCCCAATTTTCTTTTCTTTCTTTCTTTTTTATTTTTTTGAGACAGAGTTTTGCTCTTGTCACCTAGATTGGAGCACAATGGCGCAATCTTGGCTCACTGCAACCTCCGCCTCCCGGGTTCAAGCAATTATCCCACCTCAGCCTCCCGAATAGCTGGGACTACAGGCACCTGCCACCATGCCTGTCTAATTTCTGTATTTTTAGTAGAGACTGAGTTTCACCATGTTGGCCAGGCTGGTCTCAAATTCCTGACCTCAGGTGATCTGCCCGCCTCGGCCTCCCAAAGTGCTGGGTCTACAGGTGTGAGCTACCACAGCAAGCTGAACTTCCCGATTTTCTGAGTGAACAGAACTCAAATGGCACAGTTCTTCTTCCTTTACTGTTTGTTTTATGACACATTCCTGTTGTTCTGGAAAAAAAAATTGAAGTCCCCCATCTCCCATATTCTTTGTGAATATAACAACTGGCTTGAATCTAGAGAATACCAAAGCAACTACGTAACTGTATGTGGCAAGAAGCTAAAAATATCATACTCTGAAAGTTACCAATGAATACTCTTAGTTTCTTTTTCTCTTTTTTAGGATAGTTATCACAGGAAAAGTTATTATTCTTTGACTCCCTTTCATGAGTAACTTGGCTAACTGGTGAATCCAAGCTGCCTATTTCCTCTCGGTTCATGTCATCCTGACTCTAAGAGCCATGTTTAATTAAGCCATCCATTTTTTTCCTCTCATTATCTTAATATTTCCCTTCACTCAACTCACCAGGAGCACCAAAAACATTCATCAGTTATCCCAATTAACACCAGAAAACTATAGCCATTAGGTGCATCTCTCTGTTCACTGCAAATGGCAGCTGTAACAGGATTTTTGTCATGTTAAATAAACTCTACTTGTTAAGCCTGAAGAAACTAGGAAAAGAAACAATGATTTCTGGCTCTCTAAGAATTACTCATTTAGCATTCTCTGGATCCATACCTGTGTGCATAATTTTTGGGCAGAATAAAAGATAACTCAGTTCCAACATCATTCTCCAAAGTGGCTGTTGGTATATAATAATGAATTAATTTTGAGACTTCTTCAACATTACAGTCAGGTGTCTTCACCATGACAATGCGGTATCCCACACCTGAGAAAAATCCATGTAGAAGAACAGATAAAATGATTTTGTATTTCCCATACTTGTGAGATCACATGTGACTTTCATTACCTGGGTAAGCTAGAAGATAGGGCATGTCAGAGATCATTAAATTACAACTCTAAGGAGCCTAATAAGTACTTCTTTTATAATTTCATTATTTCTCTTAGGGACTGATAGTGACCTGGATTATATAACCAGATAGAGCAGAGATAGGATGAAAAGCCTCATTATCTGGCTTCTCATCCTATTGACACTGAAATCTGAGAGGACAAGATTAATATGCATTAAAGAGATATTTGTTGGTTGTCTACTACATGCCAGGTAGTAAATAAGTCAGATAAAAATCCTTTCAGAAACTGAAGAAATTGGCTGGGCATGGTGGCTTATGCCTATAATCCCAGCACTTTGGGAGGCAGAGGCGGGTGGATCACCTGAGGTCAGGAGTTGAAGACTACACTGGCCAACATGGCAAAATCCTGTCTCTACTACACACAAAAATCAACACAGAATTCTATAAATGGCAAAAATATATTTTAAAAGTAGAGACAAATATAAATGAGATAATTCATTACCCACAAAAGTACGCTACAAGAAATGTCAAAGGAAGGGCTTTAGGCATAAGAAACAGTATATTTTAACTGAATGAAAATAAAAATGCAACCTACTAAAATTTGTGGGGTGTTGCTAACACAGGACTTAGGAAGAAAGGTATAGCTTTAGATCCTATATCTGAAAGAAGAAAGGTTAAGAGTCAATGATTTAATGTTCCATCTTAATAGCTGGGTGTGGTGGCGTGGTGGCATGGTGGCATGTGCCTGTAACCCTAGCTACTTTGGAGGCTGCGGCAAAAGAATGGCTTGAACTCAGCAGGCAGAAGTTGCAGTAAGCAGAGATCACGCCACTGCACTCCAGCCTGGTTGAGAGAATGAGACCCTCTCATAAATAATAATAATAATATTCCATCTTAGAAAGGTAGAAAATGAGTGAACGAATCCAAACTAAGAAACAAAAGTGAAATAAAGATGAACAATGAAATAAGTTAAATAAAAAACAGAATAATGATAAAAATAATAAAGCTAAAAATTCTTCTTATTCATAAGATGTATTATTAACAAGAATGATCAAGGAAAAAAAGAGAAAAACACAAATAATCAGTGTCTGAAATGAAAGTCAAGACATTAACATACGTAATACAAACATTTAAAGGATAATTAAGGGGATATTAGTTATCTAAAAAAATTAAAGTTATAAAAAAGTTCACAAAAAATGATGGAAAATCTAAATAGCCCTGTATTTTTCAAAGAAAGACACACACACACACACACACACACATATATATATATATATTTTTCACTCTGTCGCCCAGGCTGGAGTGCAGTGGCATGATGTTGGCTCACTGCAACTTCCACCTCCTGGATTCAAGTGATTCTCCTGCCTCAGCCTCCTGAGTAGCTGGGAATACAGGCATGCACCACCATGCCTAGCTAATTTTTATATTTTTAATAGATACCGGGTTTCACCATGTTGGCCAGGCTGGTCTCAAACCTCTGAGATCGCTGGTCTCAAACTCCTGAGATCAAGTGATCTGCCTGCCTCAGCCTCCCAAAGTGCTGAATTACAGGCGTAAGCCGCTGTACCTGGCCAATAAATAGATTTTTAATTAGTAAAACTGTCCCAAATAGTAATCTTGAGACCCAGATGACACTTTACTGGTTAATTCTATCCAACACTTAAGAAAAAAATAGTAGAGCCTGATATAAATGCTTACAGACGACAAAAAAGAAGAAACACTTCTGAATTCATTTTATGAGGCCAACATAAACCTGATATCAAAACTAGACAGAGATTTCAAGAAAAGAAAATTATAGACATTATAGACTGAAGTCCCTGATGAACTTAATATCTACAAATCAAATTCTGCAATTTATAAGTAATACATAATGCCTAATAGGATTTATCCCAGGAATAAAAGCTTGGCTTTATCTTTCAAACATAAATGAATGTAAATCAGAATACAAACAAAATTAAAGAGAAAAAATATGAGTATTCCACTAGATCCAAAAAGAAAAACGAAAAAAAAGCATTGATGAAATTCAACGTCTACCACAGATTTTTAAAAACCTCCTAGCAATCTCCAGGAAATAAGAGAGAACACAAACAAATGGAATAACATTCCATCCTTGTTGACAGGAAGAATCAATATTGTGAAAATGGTCATACTGCTCAAAGTAATTTATAGATTCAATGCTATTCCCATTAAACTACCATTGACGTTCTTCAAAGAATTAGAAAAAGCTACTTTAAAATTTATATGAAGCCAAAAACGAGCCTGTATAGTTAAGACAATCCTAAGCAAAAAGAACAAAGCTGGAGGCATCATGCTACCTGACTTCAAATTATACTACAAGGCTACAGTAACCAAAACAGCATGGTACTGATACAAAAACAGACACATAGACCCATGGAATAGAAGAGATCTCAGAAGTAAGATCGCACATCTACAACCATCTAATCTTCAGCAAACCTGACAAAAACATGCAAAGGGTAAAGGATCTCCTTATAATAAATGTGCTGAGAAAACTGGCCAGTCATATGCAGAAAATTGAAACTGGACCCCTTCCTTACACCTTATACAAAAATTAACTCAAGATGGATTAAAGACTTAAATGTAAAACCTAAAACTTTTATAAAAACTATAGAAGAAAATCTCAGCAATACCATTCGGGACATAGGCACAGGCAAAGGTTTGATGACAAAAACATCAAAAGCAATTGCAACAAATGCAAAAATTGACAAACGGTATCTAATTAAACTAAAGAGCTTCTACACAGCAAAAGGAACTATCATCAGAGTGAACAGATAACCTACAGAATGGGAGAAAATTTTTGTAATCTATCCATCTGACAAAGGTCTAATATCAGAAAGTAGGTAAAGGACATGAACAGACACTTCTCAAAAGAAGACATTTATACAGCCAATAAGCATATGAAAAAAAACTCAATGTCACTGATCATTAGGGAAATGCAAATCAAAACCACAATGAGATACCATCTCACACCAATCAGAATGGTCATTATTAAAAAGTCAAGAAACAGATGCTGGCAAGGCTGTGGAGAAATAGGAATGCTTTTACACTGTTGGTGGGAATGTAAATTAGTGCTACCATTTTGGAAGACAGTGTGGCACTTCCTCAAGTCCCATTACTGGGTGTGTACCCAAAGGATTATAAATCATTCTATTATAAAGACACATGCATGTACACGTTCATTGCAGCACCATTCACAATAGCAAATACATGGAATCAACCCAAATGCCCATCAGTGATAGATTGGATAAAGAAAATGTGGTGCATATATACCATGGAATACTATACAGCCATAAAAAGGAATGAGATTATATCATTTGCAGAGACATGGTTGGAGCTGGAAGCCATTATCCTCAGTGAACACACACAGGAACAGAAAACCAAACACCCCATGTTGTTACTTAAAAGTGGGAGCTGAACAATGAGAACACACGGACACAGGGAGAGGAACAACACACACTGGGGCCTGTCACGGGGGACAGGAGAATGGGGAGCATTAGGATAAATAGCTAATGCATGTGTGGCTTAATACCTAGGCGATGGGGTGATAGATGGAGCAAACCACCATGGCACACATTTACCTATGTAACAAACCTGCACATCCTGCACATGTATTCTAGAACTTAAAATAAAACTTTAAAAAAAAAAGAAAGAAAAAAATCTCCTAGCAAAAAAGGAAAATTCATTAAACTGGTAACAGGCTTCCAAGTAATCCTTCAGGAAATCTCATACTTAATGATGAACATTATACATTTCCCCTCTAAGATAAGGAACAAGGCAAGTCTGTCTACTTTTATCAATCCTATTCAAGAATGTGCTGTAAGTCCCATATAAGATAATAAGTCAAAAGAAAAAGATAAAAGGCATAAAGATGAGAAAGAAGCAAAATCTTCTGATTCACAAGTAATAGGATTGTGCATAGAATCTACAAAAGTATCATCAGACCTAATGTATGAATAAACAAGTTTACAAGATACAAGGTCAATATAAAATTATTGTATATATAAATACTATAAGAGAAACATTGGAAAATGACATTAAATACTACCATTTGCATAAATATAAAAATGAAATACTTTGGAATATATCTAATGAAAGACCTTGACAATGAACACAACAAAATATAGCCAAAAATGGCCTAAACAAAACCTAAATAAACCAATAAATAATATGAAGCTCATATACTGGAAGACTCAATATTGAAGATGACCATTCTTCCCAAAATGATATATAGCTTCAAAGAGATCCCAATCAATATTTAACCAGAGTTTTTGTAGAATTTAACAAAATGGCTCTAAGATCTATAGGGAAATATAAAGGGCCTAAAATAGCTCAAGCAATTTTGGAAAACAAGAAAAAAGTTGACAGACTTATGTTACCTATTTTCAGAACTTACTATAAAGATCCAGTATTCATGACTGTTGTATTTGTAAAAGAATAGACCTATGGATGAATGAAACAACAGAAAAACCAAAAGTAGACCCACTTATAGATAGTCAGCTGATTTTTATCAAAGGTGCCAAGCAATTCGCTAGAAAAAGGAATGTGTTTCAGTAAATGGTTCTGGATACTCACAGGGGGAAAAAAAATCAACATCAACACCATTTGCAAAAGTCAACTTGAAATAAGTCATAAACCTTTAGAAGCTAGAACTGTAAAGTATCAAGAAGAAAATATAGGAGATCTCTGCAACCTTTATGTAGGCAAAGATATCCTAGAAAGGACACAAAAATCTTCAAAAAAATTAATAAATGAGCCTTAAAATTAAACATTTACACTCATCAAAAGATACTATTAAGGTAAGTAGGCAAGGAACCCATTTGGATAAATATTCACAATCCATATATCTGACAAAGAACTCACATGAAGAATATGTGAAAGAACTACAAATGTTCAATCAAAAAGATAACCAACTTGTAATAGTGGGCAGAAGACTTAAACACTTCACAAAATAATTTATGCAAATAGCCAACTTATACATGAAAATGAACTCAATATAATTATTCTTCAGGAAAATGAGAATTAAAAACACCGAGATAACTGTTTCACACCCACCAGAATGACTAAAACCCAAAAGGCAAACCAAAATGTTGGTGTGGGTATGGTCTAAGTGGAATTCTCAAACATGCTGACTGGTATAAAATATTACAAGCACTTTGAAGAACCTTTCAAAACATCACACACATAATTTATGACCAAGAACCCCACCAGTAAGTACCAAAATATTCCACCACTAAGTATTTTTATCCAAGATGAATTTTTAAGCAAGAGAGATCTTTAAGTTCACAAGATGGATTTTTAACCAAGAAAGATCTTTAAATTCATAGCACATTTGCTTATGATATTTGAATTCATACATTATATGATGGAAATGACCTAAAACAACATAAAAATCTATGAAGATTTGAAGTTATGTACAATTGATCCGTGCAACAATATAGATTAATCTCAAACGTATTGTGCTGAAGTAAAGAAACCAGGAACAAAATTATAATATATAATTCATTTATATGACATTCAACCACAGGCAAAACTAATGTATGGTAATAAAATCAGAAAGTAATTGCCTCTGGGAGAGGTGAATTGATGAAAACAGGCTCAAAAAAAACTTTCTAGAATCATGGAACTATTTCGTGTCAAAATTATATATAAAGAGTCAAAGACGACTGATGTATAGGTAATTTTGAATAATGGCCTTAAAAAGGTAAGGAAGCTATTAGGACATATTTGGTATTTTACAGTTTAGAAAAATTTTTCATATTGTATTATTCCACTCATATAGAAGCAATTTAGTACTTCTTTGAAAAACAAGAAACAGCAGATGTTTGATTCACTACGTTTCCCTTATAATCCATCAACCTGTCTGTCTATCTATCTAACTCTTTGAAAGCACACATGCATTTGGGCAAATTAAAATTTAAGTAGAAGCCATGTGGAAAAACTGAACAGAAATTTTGGATAAAACAATAAATACAAAAGAGGGAAATAATTTTGAAAAAAGGGAGTATTATTTCAAAGAGCTCATAGTTGAATACTAATTAATAGAACAGAAGGAATCACTGAAGTTTTGGGCACCTAGAAAAAAACAATAAAACATATGTTTGAAGAATGTTATGAAGGCATCAATATCCTGAGAATAATCGAGGAGAGACAGACCATATATCTTTTTCAGGAAAATTGAAGAGCCACAGCACCGCACGGATCCCTTGACCATGATGGCTATGCGGTCACCCAGAACATCAGCTTCATCCATGTAGTGGGTGGTCAGTAGGATGGTACGATCAAGTTTAAAATGCTGCAGGAGATCCCAGGTGACCCTCCTTGAGACTGGGTCCATGCCAGACGTTGGCTCATCAAGTATCACTACCTGAAGACCAGAAAAACAAATCCATGACCATTGTTAAATATTATATACTGGTACCACTATTGTCTTACCAGTCATGGAGCTTACTCTGATTTTGCTTTTTCACTTGTTCAACTAGGCTAAGATAATAAGTTTAGAGGCTAAGTGCAGTGGCTCACACCTGTAATCTCAGCACTTTGGGAGGCCAAAGTGGAGGATCACTTGAGCCCAAAAGTTAGAGCAACATAGTGAGACCCTATCTTTACAAAAAACTTAAAAAATCAGTAAAAAGGTAGCTGGGTGTGGTGGCATGTGGCTGTAGTTCCAGCTACCTGGGAGGCTGAGCAGGGAAGATTGCTTGAGTTAGGTAGGTTAAGGCTGCTTTAAGCCATGATTGTGCCACTGTACTCCAGCCTGGGTGACAGAGCAAGACCCTGTCTCAAAAAAAAGTTTAGAAAAAACTGAATTAGGAATGCTGGAATAATTTCAAACCTATGGCCATTTTATACCAATGAGATCGACAATGTCAATCCCATCTGATTTTCATTTTAGGAGGTTATATTTAGAACGTTAGCTCCATAGCAGTTCTCAAATTTGTGTCAGCTGATTCTTTTAGAGTAGCTGCAGTATGCAGTGGGAATCCATATTTGGCTTTGTTTGTTTGTTTGTTTACCTTGGAGCCCCCTATAAGTGCTATAATGATGGAGAGTTTGCGCTTCATTCCTCCACTCAGTGACTTTGACAATTTGTTACGCTTTTCTAGCAGGTTAAAAGTAGCCAGCATGCGGTCAATTTCAGTAGGCGTCATCTTTCCATGTACTCCTTTTATCTAGAAAAAGAAGCCAGAGTTTACTTGGTGCTTCCAACTTTACTCTTAGAAACATATTACACCAGCTTTTCTTTTTTTTTTTTTTTAATTTATTTATTATTATTATACTTTAAGTTCTAGGGTACATGTGCATAACATGCAAGTTTGTTACATATGTATTCTTGTGCCATGTTGGTGTGCTGCACCCATCAACTCGTCAGCACCCATCAACTCGTCATTTACATCAGGTATAACTCCCAATGCAATCCTTCCCCCCTCCCCCCTCCCCATGATAGGCCCCGGTGTGTGATGTTCCCCTTCCCGAGTCCAAGTGATCTCATTGTTCAGTTCCCACCTATGAGTGAGAACATGCGGTGTTTGGTTTTCTGTTCTTGTGATAGTTTGCTAAAGACTTGGAATCAACCCAAATGTCCATCAGTGACAGATTGGATTAAGAAAATGTGGCACATATACACCATGGAATACTATGCAGCCATAAAAAAGGATGAGTTTGTGTCCTTTGTAGGGACATGGATGCAGCTGGAAACCATCATTCTTAGCAAACACCAGCTTTTCTCTTACATCATTCATGTAGTAATTTATTCCCTTTGCTTTTCTTTATGTTTAAAGAAGAATTCATTAAAATCAATTTCGAACTTTGTAAGAATAAGAATATTCGTAGTAGCTAATCTACCTGAAGCACATGAATAGACTGGGGGAAAAGGAAACTTTCTTTTGCTTACCACAGAATAGAAATGAAGGTGTTCTGATACCGTCAAGTAATTAAACAACAGGTTCTGCTGGGGACACAAGCCCAGCGATTTCCTAATCTGGACCATCTGCTTTGAGATACTGTATCCATTAATATAGGCATTTCCACTTGTGGGAGGATAGAGACCTGGAATCAAGCAGAAAACATAACAGAAACTTAGTTTTCATAAGGGAACGTGGAAACAAACTGCTCATTAGCATATCAACTTTGAAATTTACATACAGATGACTCATTAGCATTAGCAATATTTCACACAGAAGAAAATGCTACAAAACACTGACAGTTATTTTTGAGGTGAAGAACTTAGAAGTAATTTATTTTGTAATTTCCTATTTAACTGTATGTTCTATGTTTCAATGTGTATGAAGAAGTGCAAATCATTTGAGTAATAAAAACATGAGAGAGTGTCATATTACAACGTGCCAGCATTGCCCATCAGCCATTTGACATTTATGAATTCTGTTTTAAGCTGTGCATTGCCTTAAGTTAAGGTGTATATGGTAAGCCCCAGGGCAACTACTAAGAAAATAACTCAAAACTATATAATGAGAAAAATTATTAAAGGAATTAAAATGTTACACACTAGAAACTATTCACTTACTGCAGGCCGGGCGCAGTGGCTCATACCTGTAATCTCAATACTTTGGGAGGCCGAGGTGGGTGGATCGCTTGAGCTCAGGAGTTTGAGACCAGCCTGGGAAACATGGCGAAACCCTGTGTCTATTAAAAATACACAAATCAGCTGGGCATGGTGGTGCGTGCCTGTAATCATGAGAACTGCTTGAACCTGGGAGGCGGAGGTTGCAGTGAACTGAGATTGCGCCACTGCACTCCAGCCTGGTGACAGAGCGAGACTCCGTCTCAAAAAAAAAAAAAAAAAGAAAAAAAAAAAGTGTATTCTGCTGAGTGGAATTTTCTATATATGTCAATTAGATTGTTTTGAGTAACAGTGCTGTTAAGTTTTTCAGTAACTTTAATAATTTCTGTTTACTGGTTCTATCAACTGCCAGAAGAGTGGTGTTGAAGTCTCCAACTATAATTGCAAATGTGTCTATTTCTTTTTTCAAGTCTATCAGTTTTTGCTTTGAGCATTTTGATGCTCTGTTCTTTGACTGCATTCATATTAAGAATAGTTATGTTTTCTTGGTAGATTGACCTTTTTATCATTATGTAATGTCCTCTTTCCTCTTCCCCAAAATAAATACTAATTTTAAATTTTATAACAATTATTTGCAAACTTGAAAATAAAGGAGATTATTAAAGTATGTATCGCAGAAATCACTAAACTGTGAACATCAAGAGGATACACAAAAGTCTCATTGCTTTATCTACAGTTTTTTTTTTTTAACAGAGTGGAACACCTACCTGAGAGAATGGATAGAGTGGTGGATTTTCCTGCCCCATTATGTCCTAGAAGAACAGTGATCTGCCCCTCATATAAATTCAAAGACAAGTCATTTACAGCTACTTTGGTAGTGTTGTGCATTTGGAATACCTACGGGAAAAATCCCACAAATACTAACTTTATCACAATCACATTGAAAGAACAAGCACTCATACCAGCTATCAAAGACACAATACATCATCAGTTATGAGAAGAAAAATCAAAGTGTAAAGGAATGAAACTATGAAAAGAAATATTTGAAGGCATAACACAAGGTTTAGAATGTCACAGTAGATATACAAACATTCCCTGAGCAATCTTATTCATTACTGCTTTCTTTTCTATTTTACTTTATGTGTATAAATTTAAGGGGTACAGGTGCCATTTTGTTACACAGATATACGGTATAGTGGTGAGGTCTGGGCTTTTAGTGTAACCATGACCCAAATAATAAACACTGCTTCAAGTGATTTTTCATCCTTCATGCATCTCCCACAATCCCACCCTTCTGAGTCTCCAATGTCTGTCATTCCACACTGTATGTCCATGTATACATATTATTTAGCTGTCACTAATAAGTGGGAACATGCAGAATTTGACTTTCTGTTGCTGGGTTGTTTCACTTAAGAGAGTGGTCTCCAGTTTCATCCATGTTACTACAAAATACATGATTTCATTTTTTTTTATGGCTGAGTAGTATTCCATCGTGTGTACATACCACAATTATTATTTTTAATTTTTAAAATTGTTTTTTGAGACAGAGTTTCACTCTTATTGCACAGGCTAGAGTGCAGTGGCACGATCTTGGCTCATTGCAACCTCCACCTCCTGGGTTCAAGCGATTCTCCTGCCTCAGCCTCCCGAGTAGCTGGGATTACAGGCATGCACCACCGTGCCCGGCTAATTTTGTATTTTTAGTAGAGATGAGGTTTCACCATGTTAGTCAGGCTGGTCTCGAACTCCTGACCTCAGGTGATCCACCCGCCTTGGCCCCCCAAAGTGCTGGGATTACAGGTGTGAGCCACTGTGCCCAGCTTATACCATAATTATTTCTTTATCCAATCATCTGTTGATCCAATGGATGACTGCTTTGTTTCAGTTTCCATCTTGAACTTATAATGCCACAATCTTCTTCAGTTAATGTCTTTGGCCTAATTTAGAGAATTGTCAATTGAAAATCACACATGGATATTTATCTCAAATTTTTTATGTGTAGACTAGTAGTGCTTCTGCTTAATACACAAGAAGGTGGAAAAAGAATCACTCCCAGTCTAGCAACAAGTAGAAGCTAAAAAATCTATGAAATTATAACTTTTCTTGAACCCATCTTAGAGGTAAGGTTTCCAGGCAACCAACCAGCCTGAAATTTAAACTTTCAAGGAGAGATGGCATATTAATATTTGCTTGTCTGGAGCAGACATGGGTACCTAGGAGCCAACTTGAGTACTTATACAAGCTAGTAAGAAGATTTAGGTTAGATTTTTTTTTTAAAATGAGGTGAAAACAGTTTAAGAAACACAATACTTAAATGGAAGAGTTGGGATTCAAGCCCATATCATTAAGAATTAAAGCATATTTTCCTTCTAACACAACCTATAGATGGTGAATAAAGGCAAACATCTTGTGTAATAGAAAAAAATACTATTGGACTGGGTGTGGTAGTTCATGCCTGTAATCCCAGCACTTTAGGAGACCGAGGCAGATGGATCACGAGGTCAGGAGATCGAGATCATCCCGGCCAACATGGTGAAACCCCGTCTCTACTAAAAATACAAAAATTAGCCAGGCGTGGTGGCGGGCACTTGTAGTCCCAGCTACTCAGGAGGCTGAGGCACGAGAATTGCTTGAACCCAGGAGGCGGAGGTTAGAGTGAGCTGAGATCACACCACTGCACTCCAGCCTGGCAACAGCAAGACTCCGTCTCAAGAAAAAAAAACTATTTAAGTTTTTAAAAATCCCAAATGGTGGTAGGCATTTTCTCCCTAGGTGTCTTATACTGTCTTCTCCACAGACTTAAGCATCAGGCCTGCAACTGCTTATTTGAAATCTCTACTTGGATGAATGTCTGAAGTTCCTATATCCAAAAGTAAGCTCTTAATTTCCCAAACTTTCATTTAAAAACCAACAATAAACTAATCAAACTGTGACTTTTCCCCAGTGTCTCCAATATTCATAACTGGTCAACTAACCCCCCATTTCCTCAAGCCACTAAACCAACAGCCACATTAGTTTCTTCCTTTTCCCTCAATCCTACATCTAACCTATACATAAGTCTTCAGTTATAACCTTAAAACACATTTTGCATCTTTTTTTTTTTTTTTTTTTGACAGAGTCTCACTCTGTCACCTAGGCTGGAATGCAGTGGCGCAGTCTCGGCTCACTGCAACTCCACCTCCCAGGTTCAAACAATTTTCCT